GGTTTTTGTGGTATACGTGGCAGTGTCTCTGGGGTTGGGGTCTGGGAATGAGAAAGCAAATAGAACAGGGTAAAACAAAGAATGGAATGATCAAGATTAACGGGGTCTCTAACTGGATCCACTTTGCCACTGTTCCCTCCCTCCCAGGCCCTCAGTAATCACGAGACTTCAGGAATGCACCACACAGATGTATTAAATGATATACAACATAATTGATTTGTTAAATATTGCCCCCCTCTTGCCATCTACCTCCAGCGTACTCCCTAGAGTAGTAGTACAGGTAGGGAGGACCTAACTATTGGTAGGAACCCCTAACACCTTTCCAAGGTAAAATTCCAGCTAGTCCAAAAAGGGTCCTTCTCTTAAGAGTTTTAGGAAACTAGACAATGCAATTTTATTAGTATCAGTAACATCTGTTTGGAGCAAATTCAGCTCAAGGAGCTGCATGGTTGAATGCAGGAGGGGTTCTACCAATTGCCCCTATTCCTTCCATTGTAGCAGCTTGGCCCAAGTGTTAGCAGTTGGTGGGGTCAATCCCAAGGTTCCATCTGGCATCATAGTGGCAGGTCCTGAAGGAGCTAGGGTACCAGCAGGCACAGAAGCAGGGGTCATGGCACCTCTGTTGTATATGCCCATAGCACCTCCCATAGTAGCCACCTGGTCCATTCGTACCTCCTGCTCTCTTGCATCAGGGAAGATTCCCTTGAACCCTTTCTGCTGTTGCTGCATCTCCTTCTCATAGCATCTGCGCTTCTCCTCCTGCCTGAGCTCCAGTTGCTTTCATTTTTGCACTTCTTGGTTGTGCAGCAATTTCATCCTTTGAAGTTCCTCCTCACACCTCATCATATCCTGCCTCATTAGCATAACCTGGTGCTCATGGCGAGCAGCTCCATCTCCAGTTTCTTATGAGCAGCTCCATCTCCAGTTTCTTGCGAGCTTCCTTGGTGTTGTGGTCCATTTGTTGTTGCTGCTGTTTATCCATCTCAATGAGTACTTTCCAGCGCATGGCATACTCATACCAAGGAGCCAGGCTATGCAAATCCAGGTGGCTGCTCCCGCTCCTTGTGAAATTACTAGTGCTTTATAACCAGCTTCTCTGGAAGTCCCTCTTCATCATCTAACTGGTTCATGGGCTCCACAGTCACAGGCCGAGGAAATGTACTTAGCAGGAAGGAGCCTTCACTGTATCTGTCCAGAGCTTTCTGAGCAGCTGGCTTCCCTGAGAATTCAACGCCTTTTCCTGAGGGCCTTCCTCGAATATCCACAATGACTACATCCCTCTCCACCTGGCCAAACACAGAAAAGGCTTCTTCCAGCAGTTTGTTGGACACATAACAAAGGTTTCTAACTATAAGGAATGCACTATGACAGGCAAAATGCACACGTAGCTGCTTTCCATGGAGTGGCATGTTGTCCAGCTCCACTTTAGCAATCTCCACTGGGGTTCTTGTTTCCAAGTGGATAAAGCCAGTTCTTATCCTTATGAATAAAGGCTTCATCTGCCTTCCCATATTTCTCAAATAGTTTACTCATTTCCTCCTGAGTGATGTCAGGTGGAAGACTGCCCACAAAAAGCTGGCTACATTGGGTACTCTGCTCTTCCGCGCTGTCATGGCGGGCTTGCTGAAGAAGACTACTGACCTTGTGGGGTTGGCGGTATGTGAGAGTCTGCACGAGAGGCTAAGAATATTGTACACAAAAATTCTTGATGTTCTTGAGCAAATCCCTAAAAATGCAGCATATAGAAAGTACACAGAACAGATTACAAATGAGAGGCTGGATATGGTTAAAGCGGAACCAGATGTTAAAAAATTAGAAGACCAACTTCAGGGTGGCCAAATAGAAGAGGTGATTCTTCAGGCTGAAAATGAACTAAGTCTGGCCAGAAAAATGATACAATGGAAACCATGGGAGCCGTGAGTGGAAGAGCCTCCTGCCAACCAATGGAAATGGCCAATATAATCACCATCAAATGACTTGTGTGCTGAAGGGAAACTGATGTAATTAAATGTTCTATCAAAAATATGTCCATATTATTGACATCTAATAATCAAGAAAACTGATGTATAATACATTTAGGAGACTTGTTAAAACTGATGATTATGATAATAGGGACTTAAGAATTAGTTTTTGTTAAAGTATTCATTCAAATTATTTCAAAGATTGATATTTTATAAAATAGAGGTTCTATACGGTTTGAAAATTAATTGGAAAAATTTCTGTGTTTTGATGCACAGGCCATATATTTGATAGGTAAAATATTTTTAGTAGTATCTCTGACACATTTGATTTTTTATTTATTCTGACAAAACCAGGAAGAAATTTATTATTGCTTAAACAAATGTATAGGTCGCTGTTTGAAGTGAAGTAAGAGAAAAACCATTAAATTACAATTCATTGTACAGTTGAGGAAATTGATTTTGTATTTGAAAGATTTCTTATTTACAGTGGTAGTTGAGAAACTTAAACTTTTGTCAAATTTAAGGAAGTTAGCTTTCTGACCCTTACTCAAACTATACCAGGAGAGAGAGTTTCTGTAAAAGAAGAAATGATGAGAGTTCCTAAAGTTTATCCAGCATGTTGGATAAGCTTTTATTCAAAACATCTTAGTTGTATGGTTATAACTTCCAGGTAGAGCCACTAAGTAGTTTTTACTAAGTTTCCAAGGAGTGAAGCTGGATATCAAGCTAAAGCTGTTCCAGAAAAGAAACAATTGACAAGTTTAAGGTTAAACAAAAATAAAATTACTTTTCAGGTGAAAAAAAAAAGCTGGCTACATTGGGTAAAGGTCTTTTCTCCTGGTTTCCTAAAAATCTTCAGGTCAATAGTCAAGCCTTCATTTTGTCTGCTGGCTTGTTGCCCATTTGCAGGTGTTGATGGTGGCAAGGCTGCTACTACTGTTGCTGCAGTTCATGCTGCTGGTGGTGATGCTGATGATGCTTCCTTGGAACATGGTTTTGCTTCTCCAAATTAAAGGTTTTATTGCTCTGCATTTTTTAACCCCTCTACCAACTGTTGCCTTCTCAGAGTAATAGCAATGCCACATGGCTTCTACTATCCCAAGATAAGAGATAGAGGTATATTAATGACCTATGCTGTTAACTGATGTTATTACCCAAAGTGAAGGTAATTGCAAGAAACCAGTCTTCACACACTAATCATTGCAAATAATGTGTAAGTAACAAGAATAACTCCATCAACCCTAACTTTTGCTTAGTAAAAGTTCGCTTGTGTTTCTTCATATGGATTGTAGCCCCTTCTCCTTTTGGTATCAGAGCATAGCATTGGTTTGGCCCTTCAATCTCAAGTTTTAATTATATAATTTATATTTATTATGTATATAATATGCTATAATTTCTCCTCATGAATATATAGCTTCAAATATACCATTTATTGTGTATTATTTTCACATCTGTTGAGTTCAAATTAAATTAAACTTTCTATGGGAAGTTGTGGCACTTTCAGAACATTTCAGAGACTTTCTCTTGAAAGAATTGACAAAAGACAACGAAAATAGAAAGGTGCTGAACCACAGGTATGCTATAATGTTATTTGTGTAAAAAGTGGAAGGGTATATACTCATAAATACAGAGTCCAGCAGAAGTAAGGCCTGCTTGAGTGTGGTTGGTAGTGTAATAATATGAGTGTAATAATTTATAGTTTTAATTTAAACACTTCACCTAAAATGTCATATGGTGTGCTTGATGTTATATTGTTATGTTACAGGATGCATACGACTTTGTAATAAATGACTTTGTAATAAAAAGGGGGGTGTTATTTATGCCAAACTTTGTATTTGAGTATGCATACGAGTCAGGCATAGAAGGATTACTTTTTTCACTATGGTTATATTTTAATCTTTCAAAAATACCAAAAAAAAACCCCCCACAAACCTCTTAAAGAAAGAAGTATGAAACTTCAAGGTATCAATCTCAAAACCAAGATTACAACTCTTCTACAGGGTTAAAGTAGATCAGTTTGCTTGAAAGAAAGTCACATTTTCTAATAGGACTTTTATCTTTAAGTTGATTCAACATTGAGTTCTGCAAAGTTGCATAAAGGAAAGTAAGAAAAATATCGTTTTTAAGTTTATATTGCTACATGTGGGTACTATAAACTGGAGTACTAAAACTTATGTTCTTCCTTCCTTATGTCAGTCAGTTGATGTAACATATTGGCTTGTATCCCTACATTGTAACCTTGGACTACATATACCATCAGTGTCCAATCACCTGTCAAATGCTTGGGGAGTGTGGGCAGGGCAGAACAGAAATAGAAAATTCGAATGACTGCAAAATTCATCATTCTTTTAGAATACAATTTAAAAGGCTTATTTTCCTCATGGTAAGCCAGGGGGGAAAGTATGGCTTATTATTAGATACCCAATAAATAAACATTTTACTTGTAGAAGAAGGTAGTATATCCAATACATCATTCGACCAGAGAAGCGACCTCATAATTTGTTCTTTGAATCTTCGTGGGCTTTTCCTTTAATTAATCACATAATATTAATTATATTAAACACAAAATCAGTTTCTTGAAATATTTTGATCATTTGGCTTTCCGTGAAGCTACACTTAGTTCTTTTTACTGGCTATTCTCGGTCTCCTGTCATTCACTCGACAATGTCTGTGTGACCTTGAACAACTAAAATAACCTCTGGGTCTCACATCTGTAAAAGACATTTTTAGCATAGTCATCGCTCACTAAATAGTTATTGTGTATCGTTCGTTGTTACTACCACAAAGGCTCAGCTCCGCGTGTCGGCGCTTGCCTGGCCTGAAACGAACCCACCACGCCTCGGAAAAGGGCGTTCAGCGTCGGGAATGCAGTAGGGAGTAATTGTGCAACTCTTGTCACGCCCAGAGCCTGACAGACAATCTGGGTGGAGTTTCTTGCGCTCCCTCGCAGTTCAGCCCGACCGCGCGCGAAGAGAGGGTAGGCGGTTCCAATCCAGGCGAGGAAGCTCCTCCTTCAGGGAAGCGGATTCAGTAACACCACCCAGCCACTTCCGGCTTGGCGCATCTTCCCTCTCATCCTCTAACTGCACTTTCGGTAAAATGATGGAGTCTAATATTTCACTCTGGAACTTCTATATTCCCTTCATCTCCTCCTCGTTATAACTCGAGTTGAAGATAAAAGTTAATTTTGGAGTTATTAGACATACCTGGCTACAAAAAAGGAGCACGTGAGCGGACCCGACGAAAGTGCCTGACGTAAGCCTCTTCGCCCTTTCCTCGCCGGCCGGAAGTTGTGGGACTGAATGGGTCCCAGAGCCGGTGGCTGCACCTATTCTGTTTCCACCTGAGGCTTAGCAGCTGCCTATCCCGTCAGCCGCTGGGCCACCAGGTCCATGTGGAGGCTCCCAGGTGCCCGTGTCGCGCTTCGTGGGGTCCGCGCGGCCGTGGAGAGGCACAGTCGGGCCGAGACGGCAACTGAGACGGCGGCGGGCGCGATGGAGCGTGCTGTAGTGCGCTGTGTGCCCTCCGAGCCTAAACTAAGCTTGTCGTTCGCGCTGGCCGACGGCAGCCACAAGAACATGCAGCGCGACCAAAGTGAGCCGCTGGGTCGAGCCCTCAGCCGGATTGCCACCAACGCCCTCAAAGGCCACGCTAAAGCGGCTGCCGCCAAGAAGAGCAGGAAGAACCGGCCAAACCCTAGCGGCGGCGTGGCCGGTTCCGGGCCTGGACCCGAGCCCGCTGCGGCCTGCGAGCCCGTGGTCAAGCTGTACTACCGGGAGGAGGCAGTGGCCGAAGACGTGCTCAATGTCGACGCCTGGCAGGATGGTGCTGTGTTGCAGATCGGCGATGTCAAGTATAAGGTGGAGCGCAACCCGCCCGCCTTCACCGAGCTGCAGTTGCCACGCTATATCATGGCCGGCTTCCCTGTTTGCCCCAAGCTCAGCCTCGAATTTGGTGATCCCGCCTGCTCCCTCTTCCGCTGGTACAGGGAAGCCAAACCCAGGTCGGCGGAGCCTGAGGACGGGGGCCCCTCGTCACTGTCTCTCTCCTCGCCCTCTCCTAGTTGGACAGAAACGGGTGTGGACGAGCGCGTCTACACCCCGTCCAATGCAGACATTGGGCTACGGCTCAAGCTTCATTGCACCCCAGGCAATGGGCAACGCTTCGGGCCAAGCCGGGAGTTGGAAAGTGTGTGTCCTGTGGAAGCTGGGCCCGGCACTTGCACCTTTGATCACCGGCATCTCTATACTAAGAAGGTGACAGACGACGCTCTCATCCGCACTGTCTCCTACAACATCCTCGCTGACACGTACGCCCAAACTGAGTTTTCGCGGACCGTCCTGTATCCATACTGTGCCCCCTACGCCCTGGAGCTCGACTACCGCCAGAATCTTATCCAGAAGGAACTCACCGGGTACAACGCCGACCTCATCTGTTTGCAGGAGGTTGACCGCAACGTGTTTACAGACAGTTTGGTCCCGGCTCTCGAGGCCTTTGGGCTGGAGGGCGTATTTCGTATCAAGCAGCAGGAAGGCCTGGCTACTTTCTACCGAAAGTCCAAGTTCAGCCTCCTTACCCAGCATGACATTTCTTTCCATGAAGCCCTGGAGTCCGACCCACTTCATAAAGAATTGCTGGAGAAGTTAATTTTATATCCATTGGCACAGGAGAGGGTGCTCCAGAGATCTTCTGTCCTTCAGGTAAAGTAGCTTCACCAGTCTCTCTACATACTCGTCCATTTTTAGGGCCCTGGGAAGGGAATAGGGTGTGGGGCTATTATAATTGGGATGAAACCGTCGAGATTTTACTGAAAGGTGTTTGCTCTTGTATCTTCAACACAAAGGTTAGCCTTCATTCATTCATTTAGCAGATACTTATTCATCTGTTACCCTCCCATTTTATAAGTGGGGAGATGGACAAATTTACTTAAGTTCACACAAGTGTGGAGCTAGGATTCTTATAGTTAGTTATATATTCCATTATCACTGGGTAGGGTATTAACTACTACTTAGCTTAAGCTATGTTAATTTTTTTAAATTGACTTTTAGAAAAAAAGGAAGAGGGAGGGGAGAGAGACATCCATTTGTTGTTCCACTTGTTTATGCATTCATTGGTTGTTATATGTGCCCTGACCAGGGATGGCAACCTTGGTCAATCAGAATGGTGCTCTAACCAACTTTGCTACAGGGCAAGCTATCTTATGTTTCTTAAAAACATATTTATTTTGTGTTTGTCCAGAGTTTTTTTAAGAATTTTCTTTTTTTTTAAAATATTTTATTTATTTATTTTTAGAGAGGGGAGGGAGATAGAGAGAAACATCAATGTGCGGTTGCTGGGGGTCATGGCCTGCAACCCAGGCATTGTGCCCTGACTGTGAATCGAACCTGTCCAGAGTTTTTAGGTAATTCATTTTGTGCAGAGCAAGATGAGTAGCTACTTTTTTTTTCAGCACCTACTATGTTTCATGAACCTCTATGTAAGCTAATTTAATTGAATCCACACCATGGTTCCACTTGAAGGGGAATAATTGTCTTTTTTTCTTTAAACCAATGACAAAGCTGTTTTTTGGAAAAAGTGTCTCTTTCCAGATCACATTGCTGTAAATGGTAGAGTGAGTATTCAGACCTGGGTCTGCCTCACTCCAAAGCTTGCACTATCTTCAACCTTGGTGTTGTCATCTAAAGTATATTCTTTTTATGCTACCTGTATATGCTGGGCTGTTACTACAGCATGTTACCCTTTGTACTATTTATTTATATAGTAGTCCCTTGTAGCCATGGTTTCAGTTTCCTGCACTCTGAAAGTACAAAATGAAAATTTTCGGAAATAAACTATTCATACATATTATTAATAAATCGCCTGCTGCTCTAAGTAGCATGATGAATTTCATGCCCTCCTGTACCATCCAGCTTAGGACATGAATCATCCCTTTGCCCAGCATATTCATGCCCTATAGGCTACCTATCCATCAGTCACATGGTAGCCGTCTTGGGGATCAGATGGATTGTCACAGTGTCACAGTGCTTGTGTTCAAGTAACCCTTATAGTAGACTAACGCTGTGTCACAATGCCTTCATCTTCACCTCACTTCATTTCCTCAGGTAGGGTGAGTACAATGCAGTATTTTGAGAGAGAGAGAGGAAGAGAAAGAGAGAGATACCATATTCACATTACTTTTATTATAATATATGCAGTGTTATAATTGTTCTGTTTTATTATTAATCTCTTACTTTGCCTAATTTATAACTTAAACTTTATCATAGATATGAAGGTATCAAGGTATGTAATATGAAGAGTAGAGACATTTATTAAGAAGATACAAGAAACATTGTACATAGGGCAATGACATCTCAGTCCCTTTCAAATTAGGTACCTGGGGACCTCATATAGTTCTCCCAGTTGCCATCAGGTGCCCCATTGTATTTTCTTGAATCTCCTGGACAATCTGAAATCTCTTTCCTTTCAAAGGTGAATTTAGTTTTGGGAAAAGCCAGAAGTCACAGGGTGTCAAATCTGGGCTGTAGGGGGCTGGGCCACCTGGGTGATTTTGACGTTTCACCAAAAATCTCTGCATGAGTTGTGGTAAATAAATGGCTGCATTGTTGTGATGAAGCTGCCAATTACCAGTTGCCCACAGCTGCAGCCTTCTGAATCATCCCAATAGTTTCTGTGGAGGAATGTTCAAGCTTAAGGCAAAATTTGATGCAGGTTCATTGCTCTACTCAGTTGTTTTGAATGCAATGGCCACACAGTACGCATGCTCACTCAACGGCATCTACCACCCCCACTGACTAGTACAGTGAAGTCATTATTCACATATGTGCATTCCTGTCCACTCTCCTTGGCTGCTAGGTTACATCAATGTCACACAAACCGTTCTTGGTATATTAACAATGGCTAGACTTCCTGGACAGACTTCATATTATAGGTTTAGGTTTCAGGCATCCACTGAGGATCTTAGAACATATCCTCCCTGGATAAGGGGGCACTTCTATATTCAAAAACTTAACCAAAGTTCAATTTCATAATTATGATCATAGTTCATCAGTATGGGGAGGATATAGAGTAAAATGTTACTTCATATAGTCTTAGATAAAAATTTTAGAAGATTGGGAGATAGCAACTGAAGTCTTTCCACTTTCTGTATGTTTTAGATTTCTGTTCTTCAGTCTACAAAGGACTCTTCTAAAAAGATATGTGTCGCAAATACCCATCTCTACTGGCATCCCAAAGGTAGGTTTTATTGGTTTTCACATGCAACTTATACATGGTAACTTAAGGTCAATTAAGCTGTTTTACACAAATATATTTTTTCTTTCAGTTTTATTCAGATATAGTTGACATACAGCATTATACAAGTTTAAGGTGCACAGCATAATGACTCACATACGTTGCAAAATGATTACAACAAACTTAGATACCAAAAAAATGGTTTTTTTCTTGAGATGAGAATTTTCAGGTTTTGCTCTCAGCAACTTCCAACTATGCCATACATACATCAGTGTTAACTATAGTGTTCATGTTGTATTTATCTTATAACTGGAAGTTTGTACCTTTTGACCACCTTCATCTAATCTCCCACCCACACACAAATTTACTTCAATGTCACCCAGATGCTATATTTTGTGAGTTTTTGTTTCTTTCTTTCTTTTTTAACTTAAAGGCAACTTTAAAAAGTATTTATTGATGTTTTTTATATTCATAGGTGGGTACATTCGTCTCATTCAAATGGCAGTAGCCTTGGCTCACATTAGACATGTCTCATGTGATCTGTATCCTGGCATACCAGTTATATTTTGTGGGGACTTTAATAGTACCCCATCAACAGGAATGTATCATTTTGTCATCAATGGCACCATTCCAGAGGATCATGAAGACTGGGCTTCCAATGGGGAAGAGGAACGATGCAACATGTCTCTTACCCATTTTCTGAAACTGAAAAGTGCTTGTGGTGAACCTGCTTACACAAATTATGTTGGTGGCTTTCATGGATGTCTGGATTACATTTTCATTGACTTAAATGCTTTAGAGGTTGAACAGGTGATTCCACTACCTAGTCACGAAGAAGTTACCACCCACCAGGCCTTACCTAGTGTTTCCCATCCCTCTGATCACATAGCACTTGTATGTGATTTAAAATGGAAGTAGGTTTGTGTTTAATGGAATTTTAAGTCTGCTTTAGTAAGGGAAATTAAATATGAATCAAAGTTTATGTGTAACCTTCAAAGAGGAAAACTAGACACTAACTTCTTAGTTCTTACCCTACTGGTTATGTTCTTCATTACATCACTATTCATAATCTTTGCATAATATGGTTTCTCTACCCTTTTTTGCCTACATTTGGAGGAGAAACAAATATATTTATGACTGGCAGGGAACATTGAATTATTGTGCACATTTTATAAGTACTTTTTTTTAGTCTAGTAATTAAGAATTTTGTAAAAAACCATTTGAATGATGCTGTAATTTTTCTATCATAACACATTTAAAATTGAATCATGTTTGTATAATTAGAAGTAAAATGCATACAAGTTCAGGTGAGAGGCCTAAGTTCCAACACATGGAAGGAGTAACAGTGTTTACCTCTACCTCAGTTTGGTTAGCAATTAATACAACTTTAGAGCTTTAACAAAGGATTAAATTATACTATCACTGATTGCTATTCCTTCTCATCTTTCATTTCGCAATAAACATTTTTATTCTGTTACTAGGATTTTAGTTGTCAGTGTATGTTACAAATGAACATACTCAGATGCTCTTTCTTACTACAGGTCATTTTAACTTTTAGGATGTAAGCACAATTTAATATTCAGAGTGAATAACAACAAAATCAACTTGATCCCTTTGTCTTTAACTCTTGCCCATGAAAAATGTTCATAAATTAACATGAAATTTGACCATGTGATTTGTGAGAAACTGTCTACTGATGTGGGCTTTAAATTTTGAATGAACTATTGAAGCTTTCTGTGCTAGATGTACTTTTAAATTGCTGGTTTATAAATAGAAAGGGGAGCCATGGGGCTTTTGAGCATCTCAGAAATAAACTATTACTTTTGTAGGCATCAGTATTATATTTGAGTTACAAGGATACATTGTATGTATATATAAGTTATATACTAAAAAACTTTTTAAAAATATGAAGCCAATCATTTTAAAATTAAAAATTAGTTTTACTGCTTAGTGTTTAGCCTAGAGTGGTAACCAAACTTTTCTAATTCATTTATCACCGTACTTAATTTGTAATGCTTTAGTTGTTGCTTTTTTGATGTTCAGGAAATCTGTAATGTTATCTTGTTTCTGCTTTTAATTTCTAGCTTAGATATTAAAAGGCCATATACTTCAAGAAGAACTCTGATTTTCCATAGTTGTGAGAGCCTTTGTTCCATTCTTTCACCTCTAAACCCAACACCATAAAAACTTAACTCTTTTGATAAAGTAGGCTGTACTTTCATATTCTGCTCACCATCCAGTGTATTGTTAACTCTTAGTTTAGTATATTTGAGAATGAGAAGGTTTTACATGTGCTTCAGATGGAACCTTGAAGTACTTAAAAGTCCTTGAGGGGAAAATTAAGGTGGCAGTTTCTTGGGATCTTCTTTAGAAAAAGCTATAAATGAAAAATTGATGTTACTGAATTGTGCTTTTTAGAGCATTTAAACATCAGTTTATAAATATGTAAATATTAAAGCCAGAATTTGATTCTTTTGCAAAAATATTTTTCTTTTTAAAATTTTGGTCTGCTTTCAAATAAACATGTTAACAGGGCTCTTACAAAAACGTGAGAGAAAACAAAAAGCTTCTAAGCAAAAAGTTAAACACTTTGAAAAAAATTGTAACATGATATATACTCATGTCCATGAGGAAAATATACAGGTTCTGTATTCATAGCATAGCTAGCTAAATTGAACTCTGGTCAGAAAAACTCTAAGCACTTATCAAAAAGTCCATGTATGGAGTCTTTAATTTTTTTATTTGCTGACTAAACTGTAATCAGATTGTATGCAAGCATTTCAAAATATTTGAATATAGAATATTATGAAGTGCCACATACTCTGGTTAAATCTTCAATATACAGATATGTTAGTATGATTGGAGTCCAAAAGCAGGGAATACTAGAAAGCTGAATAAATAGCATACCAAAATTTCCTTGTAATCAAGTCAGAATAAAGCATCATTCAGAAATGTTTGTGTCTAAGCCACCTTTATGACTTAGTTTTTCCATTACTTTTGGATTTTTAGTGTATTTAATTTTCATAAAATATAGAAAGTCTGTCAACTATGGTAAGCCACTTTTTAAGATGCCATTAGTTCTTGCTGTAGGAATTAACATTTTAAAATTTTATATTGATTATAAATGACTAAGAATTTATAGAACACATTATTCTGTTCATTGAACTTTTGCACAGTTGCCACTAGATGTATACACTGGTCATTCATAATTCATTAGCAAGCACATCATTTCTGTCTATATTGTAGTGTTCTTTAAAATTCTGAATACTAACATCAGTTGTTTCAAATTTCCAAGAATTTCACTGAAAATATAACATCTGAGAGAATTAAGGCCTTATTATCCTCAGAATGTGGTGGTTTCATTCTAGAGGTAGATCTCTGAGGAACATAATATAGGGAAGTCAGGGTCCAAAGAATACTACTGTGGGAAGATCTTCCTGGTAGGAACTGACACCTTTAGATTTCATATTCAGTTATGAAATTTAGACAGAGGTTCCCTGCAAAGTAGTTTGAGACAAAAACCAAAACCCATATATATATATAATGTAGGGTAAAAGTTTGCACTGCTAGTTTATCACAAGACACATGACAACTCGAGGGAAAATCTTTCCTCAAAAAAAACCTGATACTGATTTTCATAATTCAAAAACTTTTTGTTTTGAAATTTTTAATATTTTGCTCAATATAGTACTGGGGGAAATGCTATCTAGATTTCATTTTGGGAGAGGAAACAACTCTTAAGAGCTTGTTAAACTTGTGGTTAATACTGCAATTCATAAAGTGGCCCACTTTATGAGAAAGTTCATGCTTTTAGCTAACAAAGTATTGGAGTTGTATTAATTGAGTGATTTTTGTAGCACTAACTTCAGAATACCAATTCTACATTCTGAGATGACAATACCAAAGCATTTTTTTAACTGAAGTGAAATGCACATTAAACTAACCATTTTAAAGTGTGTGATTCCATTGTATTTAGTACATTCATGGTGTGCAACCATGATCTCTAATTAAAAAACATTTTCATCACCCCAAAGGTAACCCATTATCTATTAAGCATTCTCTTCCCCATTCCCTGTCATCCAGCCCTTGGCAAATATCTGCTTTGTGCCTCAGTGGATTTCCCTGTTCTGGATATTTCATATAAATGGAATCATGTAATATGTGACCTTTTGTATCGGTCCTCTTAGCACAATGGTTTTAAGGCTCGATGTTGTATCAGTACTTCATTCCTTTGTATGGCTGAATAGTATTGCATTGTATGGTCATACTATATTTTGTTTATCCAAATGGACATCTGGATTATTTCCACCTTTTGGCTTTTGTGAATAATGCTGCTATTGTTACAGTACAAAAGGGGGGCCAAGGGTAGTCAAGGCAATATACTATTATCCGAAAGGAACCCCCCAGGTTCATTATGTCCACCGCCAAAGGAAAGACATCTCTCAATGCCCAAGATTCACGAAAAGGAAAGGAATTTATTATTCATTTGAAATAACACAAACTAAAGTTCCCCACAAATGCACACAGTCCTTCCAGCACCCTCCATGTGGCAAAAGGGGAGCACTTCCAAAGCCTCGTGGTCCTGACTCTCACCCAAACCTCATGGACCCAACCAAGACACCAAAGCCACGTGGTCCTAAACAGACGTGTGGTCCCAAAAAGAGACACCCAGTGGCTGCTGTGCCTCCCTTTTAAATCCCAGCACTAATCCTCTGTAGTGCCTTTCTGGCTCCTCTCATAATTGGCCACAGCTGCCCACATTCGGGGCAGGTGTGGCCCTGTGATGTGGAGCCAATTATCTCCAAGTTCTTCTGGACCCTATTACAAATCCCTAATTGGGGCTCCCCTCTTGGCTGCACCCTGTTATACTATGAACATTTGTGTACAAGTTTTGGTTGGGCGTGTTTTCAATTCTTTCAGTCATATTCCTAAGTGATTGCTGGGCCATATGGTAAATGTGTTTAACTTTTTGAGAAACTGCCAAAATGTTTTCCAGAGTGGACACACCAGTTTACATTTCCCACCAGCAATGTATGAGTTTCAGTTTCTCCATATCCTCACCAACTTATTGTACATTTTTTAAATTCTAGCTATTGAAGTGGATGTGGGGTGGTAGCTCTCTACCAATGCATCGTAAAATTTAGTCCAATCATGTTGTTGTAGTCATGAACTAGATTATTCATAATGAGTTATACAACCTCCCTATTTTTTTTTAAAGAGCTCATCTTCAGCAATTCCTACTTATTTTTACAAGCTTGTGTCAAGTTAGAAAGGTCAGTCTCATTGCTTCTTTTGAAAAGATTTGGGAAGAAACAAGGTTACAAAAACACAAACAAAAAAACCAAAGCCCTGGAATGTAAGTGAACTAGAAAGAATAGAAACCTAAAAGAAAGAAGGAAGGAACTTTAAAAACGTGGTTCTACTTCAGTGATTTCAGAGAATGAATTCGAATTTGCTTACTAGTTTGGCTTTTAAATACTTTAGCCCTGTTCCACTATTACCCACCACTTTTAAAATCCCAATTTAGGTACAGAGTAGCAGCAGATGGCAAGAATGCCTAAATACTAATTCCTGAGAAAACTGACATGGCTGTAGCTAAATCTACCTTACCAAGTTATGATCATAAAAAAAAAAAAAAAGACCAAGACGTGGCTGGTGTGGCTCAGCAGATTAAGTGCTGTCCTGGGAGCTAAACAGTTCCCATTCCTAATCAGGACACATGCCTGGTTTGCTGGCCAGGTCCCCAGTATGGGTGCTTGAGAGGCACCCACACATTGATGTTTTTCTCCCTTTCTCCCTCCCTTCCCCTCTCTAAAAATAAAATAAAAAGGCTAAACTCTGATTATTAAACATCTTAGGTTTTGAAAAGAAGCCCTAAATTCAAGATAAACTTTAATTTTATAAGTTGGCCATCTTTGCAGGATATTGAATCATATTAAAGCCAGGTACTAAAATTAGCATTCTGTATGATAATCTTTAAATTGTAGGCCTTAAAAATACTAAATCTTTTATTTCAGTTGACTGCCACCCTCAATATAACTAGAAATAATAGCTGGGTTCATTCTGCTGACAAATAGTCAAAATCCATGTTCATATTGTCACTATTTTACTCACAGTTTTCAATTTCTTTGAGAAACTTCACTAAACAAATTGAATCATCTCCATCTTCTGTCCATTTTGTGTTGATTGTATGTCAAAGAGTTTATACAATGCAATCCATTTTGCCCAATAACTCACTTTAGTGATGTTATCTTAAGTGTTACTGAAATATATCTCCTTACTGTGTTGAACTATCCGTAGTTTGCATTTTTTGCTGATTTCATCTCCCATTTGTGTTCTATAATTGAAATCAGTTCAGTAGGGAATTGTTAAGGCTTTACTTATTTAGTTGGTTGCTTTATACTGGATGGCCAATATACACACTTTTCAAAGTATTGCACATAATCTTCATTTCCCCTGTGGAATAGTTTGAAGGAATGGTATATCCAGAAATACAATCATTCAGAAACAATGCTGGCCCTCAAAAAATCTGAGTGAAGTATATAGTGTTTGGGTATCAAACCAAAGATGTTTCTAAAGCTCTAGAATTTTTAAGTACTGTAAATAATATAATTGTATTACTTTTTAAAAAAATTATATACCTAAAGAAATCTACCTTTTTTGCATCCTGGTTTGTATCCTTTTCTAAGTGAAAGAATCCCACGATGCTTTGGTATTTTGATCCAAAATTGATGTTTTTGTTTTCTCTTGAAGGGCTCTTTGTCATTTCATGTCAACTGAATTGACAAGGACTGACCCCCAAAAGAAACCCCATGTTCATCAGCAGTTACTCCCCATATCCCCTTCCCCTCAACTACTGGGAACCACTTACCTTTTTGTCTATGCATTTGCCCATTCTGGACATTTCATATAAATGCAATCACACAATTATGTAGTCTTTGTGACTGGCTTTCACTTACTACGTTTTTAAGGTTATTCCATGCTTTGGTTTGTATCAGTACTTTGTTCCTTTTCATAATGAATACTATTCCATTGTATGGACATACCACATTTTATTTATCCATTTATCAGTTCATTGCGGTTTTGATTTGCATTTCCCTGATGGCTAATGATGTTCGGCATCTTTTTATGTGCTAATTGGCCATTTACATATCTTTGGAGCCCTTTTAAAAAATGAGTTGTCTTTTTAGTGTTTAAAAGTCCACTCCCCCTTTCAAATCATCATCCCTCACCTCTTTAGGGCTCTCCAAGGGACAAAGCTTGTTCAGTCTGTAATACATTCTTTAACCCATCCTTAAAAAAAAAAAAAAATCCTGATCAAAATACTGATCAGTTCTTGAGATCTAGCTCCCTGCCTGCAGATGGCAGTGCTAAGCTCCATGACCCCAACTGGGTACTTAGATGCCCAATATACTTTCATACCATGTGAATAATGCAGAAATCCCTAGCAAGCTGAGGAAGGCACCTGACTCAACTGTCCTTTAAAACACAAAGGACTATTATTAGTACAGCTGCCTTAATTATTCTTTACCTGAGTCCAGGTTGTTGATTTTGCTATTGATTTCTCACAATCTTTGTTACTAGAATATAACCACTTAAGCATTTTATATGGTTTGTGAAAGTAAGGTAAAGGGATATTTGTCTAAAAGTAACACAGTAATAAAAACAGCCAAGTAACCTTCCCATAGTGGTAACTTCCTTTAAGTTAGGCAGCTGAATAACTAGAAAAAAATTTATCAAGAATATATTAATGCTTAAATGACTCAGGAGTAAACTATAGCCAAGTCCTAAATCAGTTTGATGTTTATATTAGTACAGCCTGTAAAATATTTAAATGATCTTAATGAGATTAAAAACATTAAGCTAGTATTTCATTCCTAATATTTTCCCAAAAATAAGCTAATTATAAGCAAATGTTATTTGAGAAGAGTTCTTGGTATGCCAATACTATC